CACGAAACAAAAGATATCGTCATCCGATATATATGTTATATCGAACAGCCCTTTTCTTTAGTCACTTTCAGAGCATGTATTACAGTGGAAATGAGCACTCTGTACATTATAAATATCAGTCTGCTCACTTCAAGTGTTTAAAAAAGTGTTGCTGCTAAACTGCTGTCACACAGTATCAGTGTTGGGGAGTAACGTTTTAAAAGTAACCTTCCCAACACTGCTCAGTATAATAGAATATATTGCCTGTCATCCCCTGTGCATCAATAATAAGACTGATATTCTCTTGAATTATTTCCTCTGCTCGTTGTGTACAGCGTACCTGATGACTACATCGGTCGCAGAAATCTAGAACACGTTGAGGCCTTACAAGAGAACCCGGTCGATCCAGATCAGGTCATCATTGGCTATGGACGTGGCCTCATGGTCATCTGGGATTTGGAGAAAAAACTTGCCATCCAGCACATTCCTGCCACACAGGTACCTGTCATGTAACGTACGCCTGAACAGAATACCAGCTGCCAATATATAAACTGACTGAATACTGTGTAATCTAACCATAGCAACTGGAGAGTGTGTGTTGGACTGATGACGGAAAGTACATTCTGAGTTCACACAGCGATGGAAGCTATTGTCGATGGATGGTGGGGGGGGAGGACACGAACGAGGAAGAGAAATCAGACATTCCTTATGGTAAAGAGGAAGCTCTCCACTGTTTTATTAATCACAAAGTAAAAAGGTTTAGGCCTCATGGTTACTTGTGTTTTATAATTGCAGGACATTTTCCCTGCAAGGCCATTTCTAAAATAGTTCAGCTCCCTACAGAAGAAGGGTAAGATGACGTCATCCACCGGTGAAATAAATCTTTTTGTCAGCTTCCTTCAGTGAAAGTGATGTCGTCACCTTTCTAATCTTTAACTCCTCAGATATGTTATGTGAGCCGCTGTTACACATTAATCACTGAACAAACGGAACTGAACTTGAACCTTGTGTGTGCGTATGTTTGCGTGTTTGTGTAGGCCTCCATTCCTGCTGTTCAGTGGGGGTATGCCCAGGGCCAGTTATGGGGACAGACACTGTATTACAGTGATCCATGGTAAAAAACACGTGGCCTTGGACTTTACCTCCAGGATCATCGACTTCTTCGTCATTAGAGATGGACCGCAGCACACAGGCAGGCCACACACACCAACAAACTGGCAACAAAATTACAGCACATTTAAATATGGGACTCTTAAAGTATTTGACAGCATTGAAGTTCCCCAGTCTCTGATGTTGTTAGGTCCTATAAAGAGTGCACAAACATACTAAATGCACAGGGGAACACTGCTTCAGTGTTTAACTTACTTAGACTTTGTTTCTTTGTTGCTGTGTAGAAGGACACACTTATAATAAGTGAACAAACATTAATGAACACAGTTTAAATGCCAAAACTATATTAATCATGATATTGATGTTATTTGGGGGGAATACTCATAAACCAAATGTAGAAAAGACAAATGATGTCAAATCCCCCATTAGAAAAAAATAACACTCAATAACAGTCAAGAGTTTTTGGGCAGAAAGTGAATGACATCAGTTAATTGCTTTGAACCATGTAGTGCTATTTGTTATGTCACAATTGGCTAAAAAGTGATAACAAGTAACGGTAGGTGATGTAGTTAGTCAAGTAAAAGAATAAAAGGCTTTATTTGAAATTAACTGAGCTGAACATGAGATGTGTCAGTCAGTAGGGTTGGCATTTTGCATATGAGCTAGCTTGGTGAGTTAAATATTTGGATAAAAACAACAAAACAGTTTTACAGCACATGATGCTCAGGAGCAGAGGAATCGCTCTTTCTGAGGGAACAAGTAGAGCGTACTCTTATACCAACCAATACTGTACCCAGGTGTTCCCAATCTCTGATGACCTGACCACACCACACACAGACAAAGGCTACGTT